CGCTGAAGTGCTCAGTTAAGTTCTTGGATCAAAGAATTTGGTTGCGCTAAGTGGTAATTCGTGAAAGAGAAGTACAAGGAACAGTGAAACTCGTGAACTCGCTGAAGTAAGCGTTAAAGTTTCGTGAAAAAGAAGTACAAGGAACAGTGAAACTCGTGAACTTGTTGAAATAAGCGTTAAAGTTTCAAGGCAAAGACTTTGAGAACCTGAAAACGAAGGTCAAGGACCAAGGGAAGTTCTCTTGCGGTGTATTTGCAAGTTAAGGAATGATGTTAGTAAAGTGTGATAATAAGGGCAATAAGATGAAGTGACAAAAACGATCTTACCTAGAAAATGGCAAAATGATGGTATAACGTGTTTGAAGTCTGATGATCTTGTAAAACCGTTTTATGATCGTGGTATTGTTGAACTAGTAGATTTTCTTTGGGATTTCGAGAGGTATGGTGAATTGAAAAGGTGGAACGATAATGTGAAACGAAATAGGGTTGTGTTGTATGTATCGAAGAACCAAAGGCCGTGGATGCGCAAGATGATCAAAGCATATAATACGTGGTACAGTTTGAAGAAGGCAATGATAAAAGAGGTTGTAGAAATTGAGGAAAAGATTAATAAGGTGTGGAATATAAGGCAAAGAGACGATGAATCAATACTAGCGTATACTTACCGTTATGAATCGCTTGTGGTTCTGGTAAAAGCGATGATCAAGAACTATGAGGAAATGTATTGGTATACTTTCGGGTTATGTGAATTGTACTGATGGCAGGTTGAATCAATGTGTCCAATAACGTACGACGAAGCAAAAGAATGGGCATTGGAATTGGAAGCAGAAATCAATGATGGTGGGATACAAGGAATAGAAATAGGTTAAAGCTGATGCTGAAGTCAAAAAAATTGGAGTTGAAAAGGAGAACTTACCTGAAGTTGAAAAGGACAGTAAGGCATTCACTTGGTATCAACGATCAACTGAGATGGGAAATGTTGCTGTAACGAATGACCCTGATCAATGCTGTCGAAATGAAATGGGTGTCGAAGATAATGTGATCTGTGATATAATAAATGCATATTTTAGTAACAGCGAAAATTGGGAATGTGAAATTAACAAAAAATGTTGTAGCAAATCTGATGATGTCAAGAACAGGGATGATACGACCATCAAAGTGGATAATCATTGGCTGGATAATTTGAAAATCGAAGTTGATCTCCTGTTGTTGACTATGGATGATGTAAATTATGAAAGTAATACCAAAAAGGATAATCGAAAAGCATTTATTCATCATCAAACACCCGCAAAGATAAAACACGTCAGCAATACATGCAGTCTTGGAAGTTGCAACCAGGATAGAATCAGTTTTGAAAAGGATGAACATTCGGCATTCATTAGTCATCAAGAGTTAGCAGAGATGGGTTTTACTGATGAAGTAGCAGACCGGATATATTGTTATCAAAATGGAATCATTGATGAAAATGTTGAACATAAGGCATCCATTAATTATCAAAGATTAGCCGAGATGGATGAAACCTACGAACCTGGTAATTGTTGCCATCATGGCATTGGAATCGAAATTGATGGACACGAGGTATTTAATGATCCTTAGGAGCCCGCCGATATGAGTTGTGTTGAGGAAATTGAAAAGGTCGATGCTACTGAAATTAAAAATGCTGATGGAATGGATAATAATGGTTATTGTTATCGAAATGGGATAGGGATTGAAAAGGGTGAATGTATGAAGACTCTCCAACATGGATCTACGAATGTTGATTGTAATAGGCTGATACCATTTGTGTTTGATCTTGTGGACTTCCTGGTTGTTTGTTGTTGGTGGTGGACTGAAAAACAATATATGTGGAAGCAAATATATGAATGTAAAGGAGACTATGATGTTAATGTGAGAAAGATTGGTGTTGATGTTAAACAAATCAAGCATGGCGCAGTCGTAGTTGATGGTAAAGTTAATGATGAAATACTTACCAAATATAGGGAAAGTCTTGATAATTCTTGCGAGAAGTGGTT